GTTTAGCAGCATGCTCTCGAAAACTTAAAGGCAACTTTCTTGACTAATTTTGCCCTTTACATATGGCCAATGTTCATTTCCCACTCCACCAACCATGTGAGCTGAAGTGAACATAGCAGTTAGTACCCCGTCCTCTCTAATGCTAGTGTGTGCTTCTGTGGGTGCGTAGGAGAGATTCAGATGCAGCCCAGCTGATTAGCATAGTGCCCACTGTTAGGTTTTGTGTTTCTGCTGGTGGTGCACATTTGTGCATGCCTTTATGCACATGAAAAAAATGTATTCTGCACATGCCTTGGAAAGATTAGAAGGAATATTAACTAGCTCTGTCAGTAACACCTCTGAGAATGGCTTCTGACTGCTGCAGCAGAACCAGGAAAAGGATCACACGCATATCATTTTTCCAGACTCCACAGAAATAGTAATGTGACATTTTTTTAAGATTATTTTTCCCTCAGGAGCCACTCCAGTAAACTACCGATCACCCTCTGAGAGATGCTAATAATTCTTACATCCTATTGTCTGTGTTGAAAGCTAAAGATGTTCTGCTCTTGGGCAGAATTCCTTTAGTTATGAAGTGTGATTTGTTTAAACGAAATACCAAATGACATTTGCTACCGAGATATAGAAGTATTTAAGATCAGCCAAATTTGGGGGATTTATTCATGTCAGTTTTACATTGGGCATATTAGCATCACAAGGAGCAAAATGTATTAGAGATCTGTATCTTTTCAAATACTTCAGTGGATATTGGAATACCTGTGAAAATTAATAATTCAGGAATTAATGCAAATCTTGGCAGGATTTTTTTTTTTTTTTAGTTTTTCTTCTCTTCCATAGATAACTCATGTCCAACCCACATTTCTAACTCCTGTCCTCTTTTCCCTTCTAGTACTGTCAGAGCATTCCTTAAATATCTCCAGAGTCACAAAAGGCCTTGAGAACTTCTAGAGACATCACAATGTCAAGATAATACTCACTGTGTTTTGTCTTTGTTTTCAGGAAAATGTTGACAATAAGATACTATGAAACTATCTTGTGAAGCTGCACTATATGAGGATTAGCCAGTACATTTTTTCTAAGAACTTCCTCTTGATAGTGCCTTAACTAGTTAGATCAATGAGAGAGCTGTATACTAATGTGAAAGAATGAGTAATTCTAAATTAGAACAAATGAATAAAAAGGTTTAAAGGTTATAAAACGATTCCTTAGTAATTCAGGTTAGGAATTGTTTTTATTCTTTTTTCTCTGGTAATATTCCTTAGTGCTATTAAATTTAGGCCTCGCTGCAGATGACAGATGATGATGATGATGATTTAGAAACTAGAGAAAATAGTTTATAAAAAGAGAAATAATAGATTAATAGAACAGCACCCAACAAAATATGAAAGAAAGATGGAATCATTATAAAGAGAAAGTAGTGTTTGAAAATTCATTAGTTGGCACATTTTGTCCTTTGTCAGTTTAAGGCTCCATAATATGTTTACTGGGATTAGGAGCTCATGACATAGAGATTAAAACGCTGGGAATCTGTGTACTGTTGTGCACCATTGCTGTAAAATAGGTATCACGTTTTCTAGTGCAGACAAAGTCTAATGGCCACACAAGGCACCTTCTGTGTTTGATAGACTAGAATTCAGTGGTGAGCTTTCCCTTCTCAGCTCCCAGGCTTTGTTGGTGTCAGTTTAATTTTTCTTAATAGCTTGTACCCAAAATGAATGAATGGGTCTAAATATTGTCCTGAATTGTACATCATGCAGTTCCATCAAAGTCAATAAGATGTCACAGGATTATAAGTCAGGCAGAATGTAACATTTTCACTGCAAAGAAATCAACCTTTTAATTAATAAGATTACATTGTTCAGACTCATTTTAGTGTAAGTGAAAGATGCAAAAGCGGAAATAGTAAGGAATGTGGGAACTGAGCTGGATTTGACATAATGGATTAATGAGACTTTCTAAGTTTTGTGGCTCTAAGGAGAAAGTTAAAAAAAACACCCTGGATGTGTGCAGGCTTATTCACTGATGTCAGTCAGTGTCTCGGTTAATTTATCTGGAAATGTTTGCCATTGTTGAATTGAAATAATGAGTTTCCAGGGAAAATGTATAAAGCCTTTGGCCATAAGAGCTACAGCTCTTCTACACTGATCAGCTGAAAACTGAAGTGAGAAACTCGGTTGCACCAGGCAACAAGCCCTAACTACCAGATTTTGAATTTGATTTGGCAGAAAATGGCAGAAGTTGATGAGGAACAGAACATACAAGTAGCGATTTGGGAAGGAATAATAGTAAAGCACCATCAGCTTCACCGCACCCTTAGTTGTCTTACCAAGTTCCCTGTAAGTTGTGTGGTCTGCCCCAGAGTCCCTGCTGCGGTTGGAGTGGCCCAAACCTAGCTGCAAAACCAATATCTGCCACAGCCAGGGTAGTCCTCCCGCAGCTCCAACCCAGTCCCAGCTAGAACCTATGGAGGTCAGAGGAGGGGCAGCTATCTTATGGTCCCAGCCTCAGAGCTGCTACAGTGGGGGCTGGGGAAGGTGCCTTTCCTTCTCAGCTTGGGTGCTCCTGTAAGGAGAGAGAGCAGGGTGGCATCAAAGCAACCTCCTTCACTCCAAACCCTCAACCCAGCCCCATCCGATAGCCTGCATCTCCAGATGGAGGCCTCACACTCTATGCACCCCAGCCCTCTGTCCTAGCCCTGAGTCCCTCATCCCCAGCCCCACCCAAAAACCCACAGCCCCTTCCAGAACCTTGGCACCCCAACCCTCTGCCTCAGGCTAAAGCCGCCTTCCACACTCAGAACCCTTTAGCACACCTTCACCCTATAACTGTTATGTGCACCAATATGAAGGTGATGTGTCATATTTGGAAATAGTACTTCCTCTTCTTCTCTCTGAAATCTGCCTATTCATTTCATTCAATGGTGACCCAGGTTATTTGTATTGTGTGAAAGAGTAAATAACACTTCTCTGCCCACTTTTTCCACACCCGTGATTTTATAGATCTCTATCCAGTTCCACACACACCCATCACCTCTTTTCTAAGATGAACAGCCCTAATGTTTTAGTCTCTCTTTGTATGAAAGCCTCTTCCAGTCTCTGACCATTGCAGGCGCAGTAAAATGGGGTCGCTTGGGCCTAGAGCAGTAGTCACCAACCAGTCAATCGCGGAGGCACTGACAGTCGATCTCAACACAGTCAGTGTTCCCAGCCCGCCCCCCACTCTTCCCCACCCGCAACAAGAAGCCCACGCTGGCATTATTGCCTCCCACTCCTCGCAAAATTGGAGCCAGTGCCAGCTTCCTGCGGGGGGGGGGGGGGGGGGGAGAAAGAGAGTACTGAGGCTCTGCACCATATCTGGCTTGTTAGAAAGCATGTGCGCACTGCTCCTCCCTTCCCCACAGCAGCGCATGCGCTTCCTTATCCACCCTACCTTCCCCTGTGCTCTGGGGAGGCAGGGTCAGGTGATTGTGGGGGCCTAACGTGGCAGCAGAGGATCCAGACTTTGAGCAACTGGATTTTTTAAAGGAGTGGCATGTGCACTTCTTCCAGTGCTGCCTGCAGATCCTGCCCAAGTGATACTCATCTCTGGAGACCCCCAGGTACTGGCCAAGCTGCTCCTGCCCCCTTTCCTTTGGCCAGACACTCACCAACACCCTGCCCCTGCTGAAACACCAGCACCCCATCCCTACCACACTCACTGGCAGCCCTGTCGCGCACACTGGATTCCTCATGTTTGGCCCCACCCCAGAGCTTTCACTCCTGCACCATCCACACACTGCAAACCTGTATTCTGAGCCCATCATATATGTAAACCCCCTGCCCTGAGTCCCTCATGCACCCCAACCTAAACTCCTGCACCCTCACACCCACAAGCCTTTGGCCTGCTCAGCACCCCAACCCTCCACCTGACTCAAACACACTCCTGCCTGGAGTCTCCTCCCCAAGCCAGCATCCCCTTTTCCACCTCCTCCAGCACCCAAATTCCTTCCCAGAGCTTGCACCCCTCCCTCCTTCGCACCCCAGAGCCCACACCTCCTGTCTCAACCCAGTCAGAGTAAGTAAGGGCTGGGGACAGCAAGTGATAGAGAGGAGAGGAATGGAGAAGGAGAGGCTTCAAGGAAGGGATGGGATCTTGGGGATGGGATGGGGTAGATCTTAGTTTGCCCTGACATTTAAAAAATGATCTTTGGTGTAAAAGGGTTGGAGTCCACTGAGCTAGAGAAACTGTTAACCTCTTCTTCATTAGTGTGGGGTTTGTAGTCCCATTCACAGCAGATAGGTGTAGGGCAGTTGAACTGTTGTTGCCATGTGGCTCTTGCTTTGGAAAGACACACTCTGCTATCATAGAAGATTCCAGACTCCAAGGCCGTGACACAGATACTTTTCACCAGTGTTAAATTCACTTAAAAATAAAAGATTGGAACAAACATTGAGAAGAATATTAAGTTAATGATAACACTTTCAGGTTACAGGTTGTCCTTGAAATTGACCAGTTTTATCTCAGCTAAATGGAGGTTACCTCAGTATGAGAAATATTACTTAATTTTCTACATCCCTACTCGTGCAGCGAAATGTAAAATATTGCAGAGACTGAGGTAAAGATATCCATTTATCTAAGAAAAGGGAATTCATTTTTCTAAAGCAACTGATGAGCTTTTAAGGATGACTACTGTATATATTTAGAAACCAGTAAAATGCTTCAGAGAGAAGTAATAGATAGCACATTCTGTGTGTTAGGAACATACATCATATGACTGAAAGAGACCTGTATTATCGAATCCAGTCATCTGGTATTTCCTATAAAACTATGGCCTATAATGCTCCATTTGTAAATTTATCAAGCTTCATTTTAAAACAAATTAAATTGTTTCCTGTTGGAAGGCTGTTGAACTCTTTGCACTAGATACCTAATTTCAGAGCTGTTGAGTCACTTATACATCAAAGCCTGCTGGCAGATCTGTAGAACTCATTTCATTAATTGACCTCTTTCTTCTTTGACAGGTTAGTGAAGGATGCTCCATGGGATGAGGTCCCTCTTGCTCACTCTTTGGTTGCTTTTGCCACTGCTTATGACTTCTTGTACAACTACTTTAGCAAGACTGAACAGGAAAGGTTTCTTGAGGTGATTGCCAATGCCTCAGGATATATGTATGAAACATCATACAGGCGTGGATGGGGTTTCCAGTATCTACATAACCATCAGCCTACCAACTGTATGGCTCTGCTAACAGGAAGTCTGGTTCTGATGAATCAAGGTACGCCCTAGTGAATAGAGACATTCTTTTTAAAGTGCATCAGTCATGTTTGTACGTTATGAATCAAATCTCAGGAACTGATACAAGTATGTATTCTGTTTGGTACATGTTAGCATTCAATCTATAATGCAGCCATGTATAAAGATGTGCAAGTGTATTTGTCAGCTAAAGTATAGCTATATTCAGCATCTTTTTGTATTGTTGATTACATGTATAACTCTAATGCTTGTCACTATATAATATGAGAGAGAGAGAGTACAAATTGTTGTAAAGGTGAAGATCACTAATATTGCAGTTTGAACTGTGCCTGCAACTGATCATTGATTGAGATGCCTTACCTCCCTACAAGTCATAAATAACAATAATAACATAATTAAAGATTTTTTTCTCCCTGACATATGGAGACTGGAAGTTGGGTTTATCTAAGTAGGATCCCTAAATGTTCACTCATTCCTCCTAATCTCATTTTTTCTATGTCTGTACTGAAGGTGATCCCCGCTTTCTCTGAGAGTAAAGAGTAGTAATTGTAGTTTCCATCAAACAAGATTAGCATCATGAATCCATCAGAATTTGCATTTTAGATTGAACACTTAATGGGAACATGTGGCTACCTTTGTCTTCTTTTAGCAACCTCCAATTCCTTTAGGGATTGGTAACATGAAATATATATTACTTTATCTCAAAAGTTAGTAGAATAAATCTGTACTTGATAGTAACTAAAATCATCATTCAGGGAGAATTTCTGTGAACTTTTTTCCAACAGTAAAAAGACCCAAACCCGTATTATAGTTTGCAGCATAGTTTTAGATTGTCTTTCTAGCCATACAATTCTGTTTAAAATTTCTTTTTTAGCATATGATAGAGCAGACAAATAGGTGATGTAAAACGTATAATTATATCAAACTAATTTATTTTAATATTACGACTATCCCAATATGAATAATGTACCATATATTAGGAGTATTACAGTTGTGTCTAGAGGCCCCAGTTAATATCAAGGTCCCATTGTGTGTGGCATTGTACAAACACCTTGGCTGTATCTAGACTGGCAAGTTTTTCCACAATGCTTTTGTGGAAAAACTTGCCAGCTGTCTACACTGGCCGCTTGAATTTTCGCAAGAACACTGATGATCTTATGTAAGAAATCAGTGCTTCTTGCGGAAATACTATGCTGCTCCCGTTCGGGCAAAAGTCCTGTTGCGCAAAAGCTTTTGCGCAAAAGGGCCGGTGTAGACAGCTCAGATTTGTTTTGCGCAAAAAAGTCCTGATCATGAAAATGGCGATCGGGGCTTTTTTGCGGAAAAGTGCGTCTAGGTTGGCACGGATGCTTTTCCGCAGAAAGTGCTTTTGCGGAAAAGCTCCGTGCCAATCTAGACGCTCTTTTCCGCCAAATGCTTTTAACGGAAAACTTTTCCGTTAAAAGCATTTGCAGAAAATCATGCCAGTCTAGACGTAGCCCTTCTGTTGAGCCCTGTTCAAAACAGCTTTCAGTCCCACTAGACAAAATATACAAAGGAAGCATTTTTATTTCCGCTGTATAAATGGGTGGGATATATGCAGAGAGTAAGTGGCTTGCCCAAGGTGATGGTGGCAGAGTTGAGAATTGAGCCAGTTCTAAATGCAATCTAAATATTTAATAAATTTAATTTTCTGAGTTTAAAATAAGAATTCGGGCTGTTTTGAAAAATATTTGGATAACCAGTAGGCTTTTACATAATGTTCTCTAAAGGAAAACACTAATTTATTTCTGTTTTCACATTCAGCTACAGATCATATTAAATAGCCTACTTGTACCTTATTATACATTGATGTGTAATAGATAGATGGATGGAATAGCTGTAGACCAATTAATAGCCACCTACTTTATGTTTCAGGATGTTAAATGCAAACATCTTTTGAACCATGAGACGACAATTCTCTAGGGTGCTATCTTAGATCAACACTGAGGGTACACTTTAGAAATGCTAAAGAAGTATTAACAACCAAAAATGTTTATTGTGTTTTTTATGTCACAGCCCATTGTAAAGGTGATAGAATCATAGAATCATAGAATCATAGGACTGGAAGGGACCTCGAGAGGTCACGGAGTCCAGCCCCCCGCCCTCAAGGCAGGACCAAGCTCCACCTACACCATCCCTGACAGATGTTTATCTAACCTGTTCTTAAATATCTCCAGAGAGGGAGATTCCACCACCTCCCTTGGCAATTTATTCCAATATTTGACCACCCTGACAGTTAGGAATTTTTTCCTAATGTCCAATCTAAACCTCCCCTGCTGCACTTTAAGCCCATTACTCCTTGTCCTGTCCTCAGAAACCAAGAGGAACAAATTTTCTCCTTCCTCCTTGTGACACCCATTATAGTGATATATGTCACTATAATGGAGGCATTTATGTGTGTAGGTTGGCACAATGTCTCTAAGACCACTGAAGGGAGGTCTCACAGAGCAGTCAATAATGCATCTTCTTCTTTGAGATGGGTATCCCTCTGGGTGCTCCACTGTAGGTCCCTTTGCACTCCTGCACTTATAATCGGAACTTTTAGCAGCAGTATCCCCCCGGGTTCCAGTGGCACTTTTCGCACTGCACAGAACATGCTGATGCATGCCCATTGTCAACTGTCCCTCAGTTCCTTCTCAACCGCTCCTGGCTTGGTCGGAACCCAGCAGCATTCTGTGCTTAGTTCTTTGATAGTGTTAGTTGCTAATTACAGTAAAACTCCATTGGTTCAGCATCCAATGCTCTGGCACTCCTGATGGTCCGGCACCATCAGGAACCCGGAAGTGCTCCAGCTGCCGGACAATTGGAGCTGCTCTGCGCCCAGCTTCCCCGATTCAGCCGCTGCTGAAACTGAATTGGGGAAGCCGGGAGCAGAGCACCTGGGGTGCTGCCAGGTTGGTCCCACAGTCCCGAGGGGCAGCACTACAGGACCAACCTGGCAGCACCCCAGGTGCTCTGCTCCCGGCTTCCCCAATTCAGTTTCAGCAGCGGCTGAATCGGGGACGCCTGGGGCAGAGCAGCTGGAGTGCTGCCGGGTTGGGCCTGCAGCACCGAGGGGCAACGCTGTGGGACCAACCCGGCAGCACCCCAGCTGCTCTGCCCCAGGCGTCCCCGATTCAGCCGCTGCTGAAACTGAATTGGGGAAGCCGGGAGCAGAGCACCTGGGGTGCTGCCAGGTTGGTCCCACAGTCCCGAGGGGCAGCACTACAGGACCAACCTGGCAGCACCCCAGGTGCTCTGCTCCCGGCTTCCCCAATTCAGTTTCAGCAGCGGCTGAATCGGGGACGCCTGGGGCAGAGCAGCTGGAGTGCTGCCGGGTTGGGCCTGCAGCACCGAGGGGCAACGCTGTGGGACCAACCCGGCAGCACCCCAGCTGCTCTGCCCCAGGCGTCCCCGATTCAGCCGCTGCTGAAACTGACCAGCAGTGGCTGAATCGGGGACACCTGGGGCAGAGCCGGACTATCGGAAGGGGGGACTATGAGGGGTCTGAGGTGGCATCCCCTCCCACCCAACCCCAGATCCCTCATAGCCCCTCTTTCCAATAGTCCAGATTATCGGAAGGTTACTGTAGTAGATAGTGATTAGATAGTATTAGATCTTTACTGTTTTTTTCAAGTTCCCCCCTTAATCATTAGTGTTTCTTTTTAAAAAAAATTATCTTTGTTACTACTTTATTAGGAATATTGTAGTGATGCCAGGCTCTCCAGGATTTGAATGGTGGCTTACGTGTAGAATGTCTGTTTCCATCTCTGATGGGCATGCCCAGTGCTTTGGGTGCCTGGGACAGGATCATTCTCCAAAGAGTTGCCACCACTGTAAGAAGCTCTCTTCCAGATCTTTGGAAGCAAGAGAGATGCAGCTAAAACTCCTCACCATGGAGAAGACAGAGAGGCCAGCCTTGGAACCAGTATCACAGGCCTCTCCAACCTGTACCACCTCTGACCAAGGATCACTGGCACCGAAGGATCCTCCAGTCAAGAATGTCTAAGAAGAAGCATGCCTAAACCTCAGTGGACAGACCACCCAAAAGGTTATCCCCTCAGCAAACGCCTTCCTCGATACCTAAGGTACAGGCTTCGGGGGATGCACAGGCACCAGGGGTGCCCAGTACAGACAGACCCCAAGGGGCAGTGTCCTCTAAATATACACACCCTGCAGTCTCGGTCCCGAAGCCAAAGAAGACTGCTCCTGCACCATCAGTATCAACAACATTGGTACCAACACAGTCGGTACCTAAGCCGCCCCATCAGACCACAGCTGAGAGCCGAATGGAACCGCCAGTACAGATACCGACCAAGATGATACCGGCACTGCATACTGAAGTTTCCCCAGTACCATGGTGTCCCAGGGATCCCATCCCTGTCAAGATTGTGGGAGTGGAATGGGAGGAAACCATGGAAACAGTTGCCACATATGGGGTTGGCTCTGCGGTTGCTGCAGCAGCTGTGAGGATGGTTTTGGAGATGAGTGTCATAGTGAGAAGATTTCTTCATCACCCTCACTATAAGTAGAAAAGGGTAACACTGAGCTTGATGGCACAGACTGCTTGATTAGGTCCTCTAATGTAGGTATAGCATCGGTATCGAATAATGGTGTGCCTGTCACTGATGCGACCGCCAGCTCTTGATGACTGGTGAGCGGCCCTAATGGGGAAAGACCTGTGCCGCTGGTGTGAAGGACTGGATTCTTTGTGGTGCCGAGTCATCCTGTGTCTTTGACGTGGAGAGCTCAGGTGGCAGCACTGCAATCAACAGCGGTAGCTAGACCTCAGGCAGCGGTCCTTAAACCACCTACATCCACCAGATCTGACATTAAGCAGGAGGAAGACACCTTGCCTCCGTCACACTTTTCCTCCTCTTCTCCAGATGAGTTGATAATGACCCCTCCACTAATGACAAGAGATGACTTCAGGTCCTTTCAGGACCTGTACAAGAGGGTGGCCGGTTCTCTTGACATTTCCTTAGTCAAGGTTCCTGAGCTTCAGCACAAGTTCACCAATAT